GTTGCTGAATTTGGTAGTTTTGATTTGAATGGTTGGGAGTGGAATATTAAGACTAGGAGGAATCTATGCGATTGGGAAGTGGCTCAGTTGGTTGATCTATTGGACAAGCTCAATGTTATCAAATTAAATGAATCTTTGGAGGATTGTATGCTTTGGGTTGGTGCGGGCGAGGGTTTGTATTCCGTTAAAGCTTGCACGAAATCTTTCTACTCAGTGGATGAGGATAACTTTAGGTGGAACAAATATGTTTGGCAAGGTCTGGTTCCTCCTAGAGTAGAGGTTTTCCTTTGGCAAGTATCACTTAATAAAGTAGCGGTTAGAGGGGAATTGAAGAAAAGGGGGGTTCACCTAGGGGAGGACTCTCTATGCCCCTTTTGCAATCAAGCAGAGGAATCAGTTCAGCATCTGTTTATTTCCTGCCAGTTTTCCTGGGTACTATGGAACAGAATCATAGCCTACTGGGGTATCAAGTTAGCCTTACCTACTGATCCTTCATCAATTCTAATTTCATGGTCTGTTCTTAGGCCATTTTCTAATATGTGGAAGTTTATTCCGGGGGCTGTTTTATGGTCGATTTGGAAGATGAGAAACGAAATTGTTTTTGAAAGAGGCAAGCTGGACACATCCTCATTGTTTTCACAGTCAGGTTAAGGCTTGCGAAATGGTTCCTAGCTAAGTATCCTTTATCCTCTATTCAAGTGGACTCTCTAATTGGTGATCCTTCATTGGCTGATAATATTTCAGCTTCTCTTGATTCGAACAGGCCTGTGGTTTACTGGAGTCCTCCTCCAGTCGATTTTTTAAGTTTAACGTGGATGGAGCAGTTAGTAGGGTTGGGTTGTTAGCAGGAATTGGGGGCATTCTTAGAGATTGGAATCTGATTAAATTGATGTCGTTTTCAGAAAAAATAGGGCCTACTCCTATCATTTTAGCAGAGTTAAAAGCCATCAAAAGAGGAATAGACATCTTTGTGTCATCAGAATGGGTATTGAAGGGAAGGCTTATTATTGAATCTGATTGCAAGTTAGCTGTGGAGTGGTTGAAATATCAGGAGTCAGTTCCTCCTTTTCTTTTAAATTTTGTCAAGGATATTGCGGATGCGGTTTCTGAGTATGAGGTCATTGTGAGGTGGATTCCGAGAAGCTGTAATTGCGAGGCAGATTTGCTTGCAAAGGAGGGGATTGGGTAGTGGGTCACTTTTTTAGTACTGGGTTCGGAGGTTTTTCATCAAGGCGTTATAAGAGTGTGCTTAAGTTTTATGTATCTTAAAGGAGTGGTTCTAGTTTTATGTAATTTTTACATTATCAATATATTAAGGTTCTCTATTCCTCCTTCCCCTAGTAGGTTCTGACCTCATGGTAAGGGCTACTAAGAAGGAGGTTTTTATGAGACCTACTTTTCCTATCAAAAAAAACAAATCATGTGAAAAATTGAAAATTATATTAAATTTGGATTGAGTTTGAGGGGAGTGGAACATTTTTAAGCTCGGGCTGGGTCAGAATTTGTTGTTACTGTGTCGGATCGGCCAAAAATTCGCCCCGTTGTCGTCCATATATACATAAGACAGGTGCGTGTCAAACTTGGGTACTTCAAAATAAGTGGAGAGTCGGAGCAACATAAGTCTATATGTTCTTTAATGTGGCATGACTGTAGGGTATGAACCTTGACACAACTCCCTTACGTGTGTACTCGAGGAGGAATCCGGTCTTCCATATCCTTGTCATGTGCTCCGGATTTCTTTCCATGTGGAGTATACACGAAAAGGAGTTGTATGAGACCTATACTGTTCTTGTATATGTTTACGGTAGAACCCGAAACTCTGTTAAGATTGCACGCGTTCTTAGCACCAAGCCATTGGTTGTGAGATGCGAATTTGAAGCTGCATACTGCTAATCGAACTTTTATGTATTTTAATGTCATTATATTGGTTCAGGGCCGTGGTATACAAAGAAACTTCATCCTTGAAGCTGCTTCAAAGGTAATCTCTTTCTCAAATAAACATCGCTAGTCTGTGTTTTCCTTTATTCGACTTCTACACGGAGTCGGTGTTTATTACCTAATACGGATTGGTCGCCTTACTACAGATGCCATTGCTCCGGCAAGTATCGCTGGACTTATGTGATGCAAAAGAAGGCGATTTCAACATTCCAGATGTAAGTTACAAAATTTACTTCCTCATTTGTTACGTTCAGCACAAAAATTTACGTCCGTAATGTCAGTTCTGCCAGCCTCTCTAGACGGTATCACGAATTCGTCTCGATGATCATTTACAACTTTAGCCAATAATTTATGATCAATGTTTCTTTTTGTCGATAGTTTCCGTAAAGTCAGTTCATCGCGTGTTATTAGATAAACGAACTGAAACTTCGCTTTCGGGTGTTATTGCAGGGTACTGACCGGTATTCTTTGTGAAGCGCGAAGATCACTCGATGCAAGTCAAAAAGATGCATCGTCGACCCCCAGTTTCCAGAGGCTCGTAGAAAACCGGTGCATAGGGAGACACTGGTATTGGTATGGAACAGCAAAAGTATTGATATAACGGTCGTGAAGGAAAGGCTGTAGCCGTTGAACGGACTGACTCGTCGGCACGAGCCGAATAATACAAAGGTTTGAGTGGTTTCGGATTCGAATAATATCGTATCGGTTTTTTCTATCGGATATGGAATCGTTTTCATATTCAACGATGGTATTTCTATCGAAGGAATAAATTGTGTTTTGAACTGGACTCGACAAGAATTGGGAATTCCATATCATTAATGATGGTTTATATATAATAATTTAAAGGGTAAAGTATTTCAAATACGCGACCATTCCAATTAAAATATTGATGTGTTCTATTCTTAATTATTTGAATTAATTAATAATATTATAAAAGTAGACTAATCATATTACGTTATACGGTCCAATTAAAGCACAAATTGCTTACAATTACACCGTAACAATTTTGGTTAATTTAAGTCGGATTGTAAAATTAAAACATAGAGATCAAATCTTCCATTTGATTTTACAGAACCAAAATCAAAATTTGACAAGATTGAAGAATGTAGTTAACTAATGATATTATAAAGGAGAGGGTCAAATTGAAGGCTAGACATTAAACCTTAAATTGAATTATAGTAGGGCAGAAAAAAATGACCAAAATGAAAAAAAAATTGTAGAGCAAGCTGATTTCAAATTTTTTGTAAAAAAAGAAGTAAATCTTAGATTCATGTATAGTAAAAGAACCAAAAGAATAATTTGACCCAATTAGAGAAACCGTAATATTCCCACGCCCTTTCGGACCAGAACCTTAACCTGGTGCCTTAGACCAACTCGGCCATCTCGCTCACAAATTGTCTTCAAAATCTTTATTCATATGTTAAACTATTTCAATGCTAAAGTATGGATTTATTTATTAAACGAAGGAGGACCAAAAAGTAAATTTTGAGCAAACTGAAGGGTGACATTAACTAGGGTTGGTTAGTAAAATATATGGAAATGATTTTCTATCACAAAAAAAGTTGTAAATTATATAATGACCATTAATTTTTTTTCAAACAGTTACAAATTAGTCATTAAAATTGATCAAATTATTAAAAATTATTATTAAATTTATCAAAAAATTATAAAATGGTCCCTATTATTGGCAAAATTCATCACTATTTTACAATGAGCAATGATCGTTTTGTAACGATTTAATAAATTTAATAACCATTTTGTAGCTTTTAAAATCAAAGAGATCATTTTTAACATGTAGCAGAGAGGAGAGTTTGTGTGAGGAAAAGACTTGTTGATTAGAGAAGGCTTAATATAAAAATAAGTGTATAAATTTTATCTAGAAAAATGTTTTAGTGTTTAAAGAAATTTTCGTTAAAAATAGGTGTCTAAAGTTTTCTTCGTTACACTTTTAGGTGTCTGGACGTTAACCACCGTTAAAAATCTCGTTAAGTAACACAAGTCACGTTTTGATATTTTTGAATTTTTTAAAAAAATTATATTAATTGAAAAAAAGAACATCATCGTCTTCCCCCTCCCCCTTTCCCTCCTCCTTTTCTCCCTTCTTCCCCTCCCCTGCCACGGTCAAAGCCGACTGACACGACCGACCAAACGGTAAATGATCAATCACCACATCCAATCAAACGGCCGATAATCACGATCGATCTAAAGGATTTTTATGATTTCAAAACCCTAAAATAAAAATTTTCAATTACACTTTTTGGGTGTTTGATCGGTTACGAAAGCATTATTTTTTATTTTAAATAAAAAATTTCAAAATTACTAAAGTGACATGTGTCACTTAACGGTGATCTTTAACGGCGGTTGACATCAAGCACCTAGAACTATAACGAAGAAAATTGTTAAGAATTTGTTTTTAACGAAAAATTCTTTAGACACTAAATCGTTTTTCGAAACATGTTTTTATATCAAGCCTTTAGATAACGATGGTCGAGTATCATAGTTTTGGGGTTTGAATTTGATAGGATGGAGAGTTTTGCGGATCTGGGCTGGGCTGTTAAACAGTATACAGCCTTCTCATTATAGGTTATAAGATGCAATTCCATTCCCTTCGGCCAATCTGCTGGCTGGGAAATGCAATCTGGCCATTAGAGGACGGGGTCAAATGCCCGTACACAAACATATCCTGCCATATATCATCAATCAAAGGGATGGAATTCTTGTTTGAGGAAGATAAGTGTTTGTGTTGCTCAAAGGGCTAGCTCGTGGTTGATGCAATATAAACCAGGTTGACCGGTTTGTGTGATTTCTGAGCCACTTCAATCTCTAGAACAGGTCTGCTTAAGGCAAATTTGGTATCCATTTTGGTCCAGAAATTTAAAGAGCATGATTCATTCGGTCCCAGTGTTCATAGAGATCTATATATGGATATCAGGACATGAACTACGGTGGAGCCTGAAGCTGCTACAAGTCCAAATATAACAAGATAGTTGTGCCTAGGAAGTTCGGTCATGGCAGTTTCTGGTTCTAGATTTTAGTAAGCGGTGTAAGTAATTGAAATCTGCTTCGAATAAGATACTAAAATCCATAAAAACACACCAATAAGATTACAATACAAATACGATTACAATACAACCCAATACACGAATAAGATTCGAATTACAGTCTTTTTTCTTTGAACAAAGGGCCTCGTTAAAAACCCCTTCTAAACCTATAAGGGGAAAAGAGTACCCAAAAGAAATTACGAATTAAAGAGTTCAGATACCGAAAACCACCACACATGCACTTAGGATAGAGAAACGTACGAGTTCAGATACCAAAATCCATAAACAACAGACAGAGGGAAGAAAATATGGAAACCAAGCCCCCGGCAATTTAGAGCGTAAATCAACCGGAGTTGATAAGCTTCCATGATCTTAATTTTGATCAAGTTCTTCGATATCAAATGGTAATACAGAAGCCAACTATAAAACAACAAACATGAAAACATGTCATCAAAACAATGATATATTAGTGCTATGTACACCGGAAATTATTAATAGTGTGTATGTATATATATATATATTGTACCTTTTCTCTTAGTTCCTCTGGGGTGGTGTGATCCTGAAATTTATGAGATAAATAAATAAATGATCAAGACGTAAGCGAAGGAAAGTCCAAGGTATGGATGGAGAACAAATTAATAGACACATTTGGATACAAGTATCAAATACGATTACGACTACATGTGAAAAAACTTCGAAAAAGTTGAACATACATGCTTCGGGAATGAATCATATTCATTATTCAACACTTGCACTCAAATTCAAGTAACAGCTGAAAATGACTTTCTAAAACGGATCTAAAACAGGGGAAAGATGATATGCTTTTAAAGTGATTTATAAACGAGAAATGTTCATCCTTTTTCAAGAATAATAGTACTACGTCGGTTAATATCAATGATTTAGGATCATGCATACCATGTTATCAATGAAGATTGGAACAAGGTTCTCTACTTTTTCCAGATCCTGAAAAGACAAGTTAGAAAGTTAAATTAGAGATTCAGGTCGTCAAATCTACCATGATAACTAGAATTGTCAACAATAGCGTACCCGGCATATTCGTTTTACCTCCTCCCTCGCGTTTTGCAATCTCTGAAAAACAAATTACAAAGTTAAGAGGTTTAGATGGAAATCGAACTTTTAGATCTATTTACACTAGCTTACCTGTAGGAAGCCTTCTAACCAATAGTGTGCATCCACCAACCTTTCCTTTGCCGCTTCTGCCGTTAAGCTATTGTTCTTGTAATCGTCCGCTTTCTTCCTCGTATATAGCTTAATTCCTTCACATTCAGCAATCATAGCTTTCACAACTCTCTCCAATTCTTCCGCTCTAGCTGTTGATGGCATGTTTTTGATGAGGTGTAATTCACCTAGCACGGCCAACACCTAAAAACATACAGACAGTGTCAATGCAAGGATTGAAGGTATTATTCCCTTCAAGAAAAGGCACTTCATGAGATAAGTATAGGTCCTTGCTTACAAAGACCATAGTTCAATCATGTCAATTACTAGTTGATAAACTTTAAGGTATTTTTCCCTTTGGAAGGGAGAACTGTCCTCACAGTAGTACCTAATAAGAAAAGGTGAGGGTAGAAATAACCCTTGCTTTATAAACAGAGTCCAATCCTTTCTAATTAATGGGGGAATTTTTACCGTCAACATATCTGTATATAATAAATAACAATTATGTGAATTGAATATGAAGTACTAAGTTCAGGTAAGAGAATTTACGCTCTCAATCCTTTTGAGGACTCGATCTGTCAAATTTTTCACACTTGTCTCCACAGATATCCCCTTGATATGCTCTTCATAACTCACTAGCACTGCTTTAATGGAAGGTGCTGATTTGCCGTTAACAATGGTCCTGCCCCTCGGCTGTTTCATTTTTCCTTTTCCTTTAGCTTTTGATGAGCCATCAGAAACTAATTCTCGGCCTCTTTTCTTGCTCCCACTCGGCATTGAGCCCAATGAGTTCACCTGGTTGTCACAGGGTGACAATTGCTGATTCACTCCATGTTGGTACTAAAATCCATAAAATCCATTAATAAGATTACAATACAAATACAAATACGATTACAATACAATAAAATCCATAAAATACACAAATAAGATTCTAATTAAAGAGTCTTTTTTACTTAAACAAAGGGCCTCGTTAAAAACCCTTTCTAAACCTATAGGGGAAAAAGAGTACCCAAAAGAAATTACGAATTAAAGAGTCTAGATACGGAAAACCACACACTTAGTGATACAATCCTATTCATGCATCTACTACTACTCTTCTTTGTTTCATCAAGCCACCCAAGGATGAAGGACAAGGGAGTTTTTGAATACACTATGCTATCATACATTATGTTATGCATTTTATGTTTAGGTTAATGATTATGTATGCTAACTATCATATTATGCATATTCACTAAGTATTTTAGCATGATAGTAGCCCCACATCCTTTTACTTAGCTTATACCATGCATATGCTATGTTACACATTCATTTCTAGCTCATTCTATGCATATACCATTTTTTTTTATAGGAATAGGAGGTCTCGTTAGGAACCTCCCTCATAGTTGACTCAGGATGACAACTAATTGAGGGAGGAAAAGAGCACCTCAGTATATTAATAAACCAGGATTACATAAGATACACCTAACATTCTGACCCTGAATAACACAGGATAGACATAACACTCTAACCCTCGAAAATAAAACATTACATTAATACAAATAGCGATGGGAAACAAAAACCCATCCGCCTAACCCAACATCAGCTAATTCCTGAAGTTCAACATTAAGCCTTCAACACTCAACCGATCCCCTGCTTAACTAACCTGTCGGCCTCCATATTGCAACTCCTAGAAACCCATCTAAGAACGACGCCCTTGGCAGTAGCAAAAACTCTAATTTCCTCCACCAATTGACTGAAAAGAGTAGGGGCAGTTTGCAGTTTTAAAATCCAATCCACTGCACATTTGCTATCACTTTCCAAAATAAGTCTCCCCTTATTGGCCCAATCGGAAGAAAAGAAGAAGACCAATCCTTTCATAATAGCTTTCAGTTCAGTCAGTATAGGGGGACCAGGCCCTACTGCAGAGGAAAAATTAGCTAAAGTGCAACTGAAGGAGTCTCTCAAAACCCCACCAATACCACCCTGCATCCCATCTCCCGTTACTGCCCCGTCAACATTGAGTTTGAACATATCCAATGGCGGTGGAGTCCAGCAAATAACCTTCTTAGTACTCATACTAGAGAGTAGTTTGTCCGCCCGTGTGGGATCTTCTACTAGAAGGTCAGTCTGAATCCGAACCCCAGGGTATTTAGCGAAGAACCATTTAGCCAATCTAAATCTAGTGATAAAGAACAGGACAGTAGAGTCACATTTGCCGTTTTCAAAAACAACCTGATTTCTAGCCTTCCAAATAGACCAAAAGATGACAGCCGGAATAAACCTCCAAATAATGGAATTATTCCTTAGGTTCGACCACGAGCACAAAATAGAAGAAGGGTCTTGAGGCAACACCGTAGAGATATTCCATAACCGTAGAAATTTGCTCCACAAATCCGAGGCAACAGTGCACGATAGGAACAGGTGTGCAATAGATTCATCCTGAGAATGACAAAAAGGACAAAGAAAATCCGAAATCTGAATTCCTCTTCTCTTCAATTCCACTCTCATTGCCACTTTCTGATGACAGATCTGCCATAAAAACGTTTGTACTCTAGGAGGTGCCAAACCATCCCAAACCCACTTCTTCCATTCAAAACTCCCTTCAGTCCTACCTTGTAACGACAATCTACATGATTTGACCTAGAAAATGCCATCCCCCTTTCCAGACCATCCCAAGAAGTCTTCCACACAATGTGACAGTGAAATCTTGTCAATCAATGACATAAAAGCGATCCACTTGTCCAATTCCCAATCACACAAATTTCTTCTAAGTTGAATATTCCAAACCCACACATCATCTTCATACTCACCAAAGTCAGACACCATCCCCCCTTTGTTCGTCGGCAAAGCAAAAATTCTCGGGAAAAGGCTTTTTAAAGGCAAATTAGAAATCCAAACATCATTCCAGAAAGCAATCGACCGCCCATTTCCAACATTGAACTTAGAATTTTGTCTCAAACAACCACCAATCTAATCATTCTTAGCATAGTTACTAAGGATACCTCTCCATATCCAAGAATCAGAAGGTGAATTCGCTTCTGAAATTGAAAGAGACATAGAGCTAACATTGTTTTTGCTGCAAATCAGATTCTTCCACAGACTATATTTTTCATTAGCAAATTTCCAAACCCATTTCCCAAGTAGGACCCTATTAATCAGCCTTAAGTCAAGTATTCCCAGACCACCCTCTTCAATTGGTTGACAAACCGAATTCCAATTCACCCAGTGGAGCATTTTTTATCAAGATCTTCACCCCAAAGGAAGTTGGCCATCAACGAGTTCAAGTTTTGAGACACTTTGTGAGGAATCTTGAAAATAGATAGAAAAAAAATGGGCAAGGATGAAAGTACTGATTTAACCAAAACAAGTCTGCCCGCCAACGACAGCGATTTGGCTTTCCACCCAGCTAATTTCTTATTAAAATTCTGGACAACCGGTTCCCACATACCTACTGAATTTTTCCTAGTTCCAATCGGTAAACCAAGATAAGACATTGGAAAAGACCCCACTCCACAGCTTGCTTTCCTAGCACAATCTTGAACCCTGTCAGCTTTCATATTAACCCCAAAAACAGAACACTTAGACAAGTTTAAGTGTAACCCAGACATAACACCGAAGACCCTCAATACTCTCCTAATATTTAGAATTTGCATTGGAGAATCTCTTCAGAAGAGGATTAAATCATCTGCAAACTGCAGGTGTGTCAACTGGAAGGAATTACCAACCCTCCCAATGCTGAACCCTTGAAACAGACCTATATCAGCAGTCTTAATCAACATAAGATTTAATAATTCCCCCACTAAATTGAATAGGAGAGGGGATAGGCTGCACCCTTGTCTCAACCCTTTGCTAATATTGAATTCCTCAGTAGGGGAACCATTAACTAACACCGAAATAGAGGCAGAGGAAACACAACATTTAATCCATGAGATCCATTTATCCCCAAAACCCATTACCTTCAAAATTCTGAATAATATAGGCCACTCAACCGAATCGTAGGCCCTACGGAAATCAGCTTTAAAGACAACTCCTTTTCTCCCTAGTTTTCTCCAATATTCGATTCCTTCATTTGCCAACAGAGCACAGTCTAACAATTGCCTGCCCGGAATAAATGCGATCTGTGATGGGCTTACCAAACCATAAATGACAGAGACTAACCTTTTCGAGAGTACTTTAGAAATAATCTTATAAAGACTGCCAACAAGACTAATAGGTCTGAAATCCTCAATTCCCTGTGGATTCACCTTCTTAGGAATTAACGTAATAAAGGAATGATTAACTCCATTTTCCCATATTTTCCCTCTGAAAATCTTGAACAAACTGCATGATAAGGTCCTTCAGTATAGTCCAGAATTTTTTAAAGAAACCCATAGTAAAGCCATTTGGACCAGGTGCCTTAGCATTGTCCGACTTAAATACAACATCCCACACTTCCTGTTCAGAAAAATCAGCCTCTAACCCAGCCTTTTGTTCCTCTGTCAATTTTGCAAAATTCAGGTTACATTCCTCCACCTCCAGAGATGTTATCTCATTATAATTGACTTTAAAATAATCAAAGATAGCTGCTCTAATCAACCTGGGATCAGAGATATCTATCCCAGCCACTTTCAAAGATGAAATAGCATTCATTCTGCTCCTATTAAGTGCACAAATGTGGTAAAATCTGGTATTTCTATCCAATTCCCCTATCCTGAGACTTTAGTTCCAAGTCATTTATCTTGTTTTCCATCTCTGATATCTGTTCTGAAATCCCCATATTGTTACTGTTTGGCCACTTTTTAATTGCTTTCTTTGTTCCTTGAAGAATACTCAACATACCCCTTCGTGCATTCTCCCTTTTTAAATCATACACAGCGTTTTGAACCAGCCCCTCAAACCCATCATCCTCTAGTAAATAGTTAAAAAACCGGAAAGGTTTAGGTCCCCAATTGTTGAGATCTTCTTCAAGTACTATAGGATTATGATCAGATAATGATTTCGGCAACAATTTCTGGATAACTTTTGGAAATACCTGAAAAAATGCACCACTTAATAGAAAACGATCTAATCTAATCCACGTGGAAGCTTCTCTATTATTGCACCAAGTAAATCTCCCTCCAACTAAAGGTAGATCCATCAGGTTTAGATGTAGGACAAAGTTGGAAAATAACTCCAATGAATGCCAATTCTGAGCAACTCCAATCTTCTCCTCGGGATCTAAATAAGCGTTGAAATCCCCCCCTAAGCATACAGGTAAATCAAGCTGTTGTGTAAAACACATAAGCTCTCTTAAAAACTCCTCTTTATCAGCCTCAACCGACGACCCATACACATTAATAACCACACAGTCGAAGTTAACACTCCTAAACTTTCCAAATAAAGCAATGAATCTATTGTGTTTAAACTCCCTGCTAACTTCAAACAGATTTTCATTCCACATACATATTAAACCCCTGGAGAACCAGTAGCTGGTTGAAAGCTAGAGCCTTTCAGGAAGTTACCCCCTAACTTCCTAAACAATCCCTTTTGGCATTTATTCAACTTAGTTTCCTGAAGAAACAGAATCATCGATTTGATATTCGAAACTAATCTAGCAACTGCTCTTGATTTTTCCCTTTTTCCCAGCCCCCTCATATTCCATGACATCAATTTGATTTGTGACATAATTACTACAAGCAACAAACCTTTAGTATCCTGCAAAAATCAGTCAAGAACTTCTAAGAGGCCCTCTTAGCTCCATCTTCAAGATCTCCTTTTCCAGAACATGATTACCCCCTTTGAAAGAGATCCCCAACATATCACAAACATCCCTAGTAGCAGCAGCCTCTAATCTAGCTTCGATAGATTTATTAGGGGACACAAAATTAACACTGATTTGATCC